AAAAGGTCCTAAAGAGACAACCTGCAGTGGGATTTGCACTGAGGTGAGCTCAAAACAGACCAATAAACAAAAGCTCTTGGGTTCTGAGAGCTGTTCTTTAGACTTCCACTTTCAACTTTGGGACAGAGCTCATTGTTGCGTGGTGATGAGAATGGGGGGGGTGTCTCAGCCTTGGTGTTATTTAGAATTGTCACATAAAACACAACTACATACTGGCCCAACCCAGAGCCCAGATTCAGTGCTTGAAAAGCTTTGCAGGTGTGGTTCCAGCATTCCCAGGGAGAGCTCTGCAGGAATGGCTAGTGGAACAAATGCCTTATATTTTCTTTGTCTGCTTCCTTGTTTCAAGAGAAATTGATGAACCTTACCTTTTCTGCCTGAGAGGGCTGTGAGGAGGATCAAAGAATAAAGACCCTAGGATGGTCTCAGAGTCACGAGGGCGAGACAGGATCTAGCTCACAACTTTGCACCTGTGGAAAAATGCCATCCAGGACTGGAAAATAAAGAAGTCGTGATTGTCAGTTTTCTTCCATTCTAATCCTTTAAACAGTGGGGCAGATAGATTCAGGGAGGTGAGGAATATGGAGGCCTTATCTCTAGGCTGTTTCATCTCCCCTCCCTCCTTAGGTACTTCCTAGAACCCAAGCAAGCAACCACCGAGGTACAGTGAGAACACTAGACTGAAGGCCACAGACAAGGGCTCTGTCCCAGCCTGACCTTGTCCTCTGGCTAGACTTTAAGCTCATCCCTGGCCAGAGCTTCCTCCTTTCCAGTTGGACTCATAGGCCCTTGGAAAATGCATCAATTCTCTGAGTCCACAGAAAGTGCTGTGGAACAAGGGACGAGTAGAGGAAGCAAAGTCAGGGTGCTTGACTTTGGGAGAAAAGAGAAGAACCCAGCAGTATGTGGGAGCTACTGCTCAGATGTGAGGCTGGTAAAGCAGCAGAAAGTTTCCTTGTAGCCAGCGTTAACTACTTTGTGGGTTCTTTTTTTTCCCTACCCTTTGAATCCCCTAACACTAGGAGAGAGATCCATGAATAAAGTCAGGGGTCGGAAAGGTGCGACATTATCATTGGACCGCTTCCTGCTGATTAGGGGCATTGAGTCCCTGGGACAAACTTGGTCTTCATCCTCAGGATATCTGATTTCTTCTTGTTTCTTTTTTGTACATGACTACTTAACCAGTCACAACTAACAGCAACCAACAATCAGCCAACAACCAACGAACCTCTCGGGGCTCTAGCGTTTATATTACCTCTGAAAAGTCCCCAGAATTCCAGATGTCACACAATCACAGAAACAATCTGTAGCTGGCAAAATCACACCTCTGCTAGTGCGTGAGGCAAATCACTCTCAGCCGCTGTGAAGCTGAGATCAGCCCCACATCCCCACACCTGGGATTAAAGCAAAAACATATTCTTATAATATTGCTGTTTTTTTTTAAGTAATTATATTTCATGGGTTTTGCCTGCATGTATGTGTGTATGAGGGTGTCAGATCCCCTGAAACTGGAGTTACAGACAGGTATGAGTTGTCATGTGGGAATTGCACCCGGTCCTCTGGAAGAACACTCAGTGCTCTTAACCACTAAGGCATCTCTCCAGCCCCTTTTGCTGTTTTTTGTTTTTGTTTTTGTTTTTTTAAAGAAACCAAAATTTCAAAAGTGTCACTACAACTCCTCAAGAAGGCGTGCAAGGAGAGAGGTAGTAGTACTGCTTGTGTCTGGCTGTGCCTGAGTGTGAGTGAGGCCGGGACCCAGCCTGTCAGGTGCTTAGGCCTTCCATGGGCCTCTGGGGATGAGCTGAGGACCTGCTATTCATGTGCCTTGACGTCAGTGCCTGGGCCTGGGCAGAGCTGAGGTGACTGTGTTGGCAACAGTTCATACAGTATGATACTTCACGTCCTGATATGGAACCATACTCACTCTGCTAGAACTCAGCCCACCCGGGATCCCGTGTCCTCTCATGCCTCTTGCTTTGAGGACCAACAGGGCCTCCAGCAAGAAGCCAGGGAGGGAGGGAAGGAAGGACACTGGCCTTGGATCTCAGGGAACTGAGCATCAGATGTGCCTCCCACAACAGACTTGGGTCCAACCCTTTCTGAGGTTGAGCTCTGGGAGCCCAGCAGGACCGCTGGTTTCACTGAAACACTTTCCGCCAGAATAGTTAGTGTTAGCCTGAGTAGAAAGGCCATGGAGGCACCAGTCTTTTTCATTCCGAACTGCTTAGCAGACATTCGGGGGCAGGTTGGCTCTAAGATGTAAAAACCAAAGATAGGAGATGTTAATGTATATATCCACATGGTCCAGTAACCCAAAGTGGAAACTCAGCAGTCTGAAGGCCAGGTAACCCCTCAACATCTGGTTCCTCATGCTCTAATGGATGATGCCAGCTTCTCACTCCAATTGGAATTAGAGGTTCTTTTGAGACTATCAGAAACATAACAAGAAGCCAAACCTAGAATCTGCTCAGCTCAGTATCATCCCTACTGCCATCATTGTCATCACCACCATCATCACCACGGTCGTCGTTGTCATCATCGTCATCATCATCCACACAGAAGAGCAGTAGCCTCTGGAAAAGGTTAAATACATCAGAGGAAAAGCTAGTAACTACTGCTGTTCCAAGAGAGGATGCCAGGTTTTGGAGGCCTACCCCAAACTGGGAGCCCCCAGGGGGGTCCTCCCATAGTGGAGGGGCAGGAAGCAGAAGCTTTGGGGTCAAAAACCATTTTTCTCTGAAGCTGCAGTGCTTTGTCACTTTGTGTACTGGGGTTATTGAAGATATTTTTGTTGTTGCTGGGGCTGCAACGTGGATAATTTAAAGATGAACCACTTAGGGAGGGGAGGAAGTGACGAGTCAAGAACAAGGTGACGCCACGTGTTGAGAACTGCAGGAAAGGAGCGGAGAGGAAGTGGTGGAGAGCAGAGCCTCTCAATCCACAGGGAAGTGACTATTAGTCACCTGGGCATCCTGTTAGATAGGCACACTATTCCGTGTGTCCTAGCTGGCACCTGAGACCCACACAGCTCTGAGGTGATGCTGAGGAAGAAGCTGGTCTCTGGGCCAGAGGTCAGGCAATGTCCTTTCCATAGTATCAGCCTGATACTATGTGACATGGGAGGGTCCTGAATTTTAGTCTTCTCACCTATAAAAGAGACATAAGTAATACTTGTTTTCAGAAGCGAGTAAGTCTAAGTCTTGAGTGAGACTGAGATGTTTTCTATTTCCTGACATAACGATTATATGAATGTATCTCATAATATATATTTATACATCTTGCTGCCCACAGGACTGTCGGTCTCATTAGGTTAAATCAAATTCCTGCCACAGAGTCTTCTCCGGGACTAGGGAGCTAGAAATGTAGTGGAAGGAACTGGGGCAAGCGGTATTTGGTTCCCCCATCCCACGGAGATTCAAGGGACTGGGAATTCTTACTGGTACCTACATGTAAATGCAGACTTCTTCTAGAACTTTCTGTGGGGCAGGCAAGGGTCTTGAGTGCTGGGAACAGACAATTAAAATACAAAACCTGCTGCCCAGGAACCAGGAAGGTGATCCTGGAAAGAGGGTGCATGTAGTCAGGGGCTCGGGTCCCCATCAGAAAGTCCCCTGTGTTTTCTGAGTACACCATGGACTAGGAGTTGGCAGTTCTGTGTTCTCGTCACCTCTTAGTCATACAGTGGCCATGTGTCTGTGGCAAACCAAAGACCATCACTAATTTGGGTCTAAAATCTGCCAGATAGGATGAACGAGTTTACACATAGTTGTACATACTAGAGTGCTTGGGGGGAATATATACATTTGTAGATGGGCTCCTCTGGAATAGGTGTCCCTGAGCTTCCCACCCTTCAGGAGCTGACACAGGTTGATTAATTGTGGGAGGTAATGAGAAAACACTCATTCCCAGTGCCTGGAGACTGCCTCTGCCTTTTGAGAACTGGCAAGGGGTGAGGTACCTGGAGAAGAAAGGCCTTTTACTTTAATGAAGGAAGAGACACAAGCGCCAGGCTTTGTCTAAGAGGTGGGTGTCCTTATCCAGGACAGAAATGGAGAAAGAGGTCTTAGCCACACTGAGCTGGGGAGCCTGCATCCCTTCCCTTCCCATGGGCTCATGGTTTTCTGTGCAGGCCTCCTCTTTAAGCAGATCCCAGCTTGGGAGGGAAGGTCAGAAGGGATAGGTCCAAGCTTTGCTTCCCACCCCATTTTCCAAAAATATCCAACTTGACCCTTGGTGGCAGTCTCTGGCACATACTGGGCCCGGTTTGTTCCATTCGCCCTGTGCCCTCTGCTCTGTGGGTACAGTTGCAGGACCTTAGAAGGGGATCCCCTCAGAAGGGGTTGGTTGAGGCCACTGGGAAGCCCAGGCCCTGCCCATTTTGGATGTCAGGGCCGGTTCCCTCTAATCTGAAGTAGGGAGGCCAGCAAATGCCTGCCCTTAAGGGGACAGGGTTAGATGTGTGACTTAATGAGAGCCACAGTAATCCCCTGAGCACTTTGCCTTGTAACCTGAGCTTATCTGGCCCGCAAACACCTGTTTTCACTCCTTTGCTGATAGTATAAAAAGCTGGTTGATGACTCTAGGAACTGACAAGGAGTGGAATGCGCTAACATTTGTCCCATCTTGGAATATCTCCTCAGGAGCCAGATGGCACGTGCCACGCCCATTCCAAGGTTGAGGAAGGACTGGAAAGGCTCGCTCAAGTTTCTATTCATATATAGTCATTAAGACCCAGGGGGAAGACTTGAAGGTCAGGGTCAGGCTTTGGGGACTCTTGGGTTACTACAGCCACTTGGGTTACTACTGCCCTTGGTGGTGGCCAGCAGGTCAGTCCTTTAACTCCCCAATATGTAGACCCCACAAAGGCCTAGAGGGAGGCCTACCACTGAACAACAGGCCCATATGGCACTCCCAGCCGTGAGAGCTGGACTGATAGAGACTCTTGAGAAGCAGGGCAGTGCCAACCCTATGAACTGACCAATCATGTTCTAATCATTTAGAACTGCAAGTCTCTGCCTCGGGTGGCACAGAAGATGTTGGCAGTTTGTTGGAGAATCATTTCTCTGCTGGAGACGCGAGTCTAGAGGAGAAAGAAAGGGCGCTTTTTGCAGATGCGGCCCCTGGAGACAAGAACCTACTCCTCCACTACCCAGACGGCAGGGAGGCTGAGAGCTTGGAGCAGACCCCTGCAGGGGCCCCTTCCACTGCCAACGGCCAGGGCTCCGAACCTGAAGCTAGCCTGTCCAATACCTCAGCTGCAGAGTCAGCTCCACCCGGGGATGCAGAAGGGCCTGGGGAGGAAGAGGAGGGCCCACCAGCAGCAGGAACCCTTCCTCCAGGAGGGGTTGAGGGGCCAGAAGAAGAGAGGCCAGAGTTCAGTTCTGGAGGGGAACCAGGACAGGAGGTTGCAGGGCCGGGGCTCCCCACAGAGGGGGCTGCCAGTATGGAGGCAGAAGTACAAGAAGCTAGTAGTGAGGTCCCTGAGGAATTCCAGGGAATCTTAGGAGATAGCCCCATAACAGAAGCAGCAACAGGGACAGGAGAGTCTGTAGCTGCCCAGGTCTCTCTTAGCACAGAGGGTGAAGAGGTCCGTACAGTGAAGGCAGAAGGTGAGGGCACCACAGGGTCTGATCACCAATCCGCAGAGCCAGATGGAGCTCAGGATGCTACAGCTGCTGGAGAGGAACCAGAGGCTGATGTGGCTGCACAAGCCAGGGAGGCGGCAGAGGACCAGCCCCAGGACCACTCCCTGCAGCCAGAGGATGAAGCCATCACAGGGCCCGATCACCAGCCCACAGACCCACATGCAGTCTCTGGCACTGCGTCTCCTAGAGTGGAGGCGGAAGAAGCTGCAGAAGAATCAAAGGCTGAGGGGGATACAGAAGCTAGGGAGAAGGCTGAGGACCAGGGGGAGCCTAGACCTAGCCAGGAATCTGGCTCGGCTATAGAGGCCAGTGAAAAGTCTGAGGACACCCAGAGTTCCGAGGCCAGGGAGAAAGAGGAGAACTACCCTCTTGAGGGCCAGGTGTCAGGGATGCCAGAGGAGGGCCAGGCTGAGGCCTCCTCTGAAGAAGAGGGTGGTGAAGAAGGTGAAAGTGAGGAAGGAGGAGTTCCATCTGAAGAAGAGTCTGGAGAAGACAGTGGAGATGGAGCTAGCTCAGAAGAAACGGGGGACATCTCTGGGGAGGCCGGAGAGCCCCTGATAGCACCAGGAACCACAAGTCAAGAGGAGGAAGCGGCCTGGCTTGATGTAGAAGATCTGAACCCAGAGTCTGAGGGCGGCAAGACCCAGGACACAGAGGCAGAGGCATCTGAAGAGAGACAGCAGGGGAGAGGGGATCCTGTAATTACTCATCAGGGTAGGAATTAATTTCTTAAGGCAATCCAGAACCTCCAGCAGATAACTTCTTTTTTTTTGTGTGTGTGTGTGTGTGTGAATCTTGTATATTATGGGACAAACAAGGTGGGTGGGAGAACTCCAGGTTAGTCTTGGGTTTGTTAGGCAGGATCCTGTCCCTTGGACAGTTCCCTAGCAACTTACCCTTCAACGTAGATGCATCTAGCAAGAGGTTCCAGAGAGACCTGGCCAATTCTGAGTTAGGGCCACCGAGGCTCCTCTTTAGGACTGCTAGATATGGGACAGTCTTAAGGACAAGGGGACTAGTGGCAGGTCTGTGGTCCTGAGATTGGTCATGGTTAGGAGCCACAGCCACTCTTCTCGTGTGCCAGAACCCAAGTCTGCTCTTCAAAGCCTCCTATATGAGGTGTGACAGTCGGGAACCAAGGAGTCAGGATAGTGATGTGAGAACTAAGGCTGACTGCAGCCACCAACAGCTCTCAAGTGCTTCTCTCGTACTCTAGGACAGCCCTCTGAGGACAGGGAAGGAGGAGAGGGGCTGAGCCTGTGGGCGGCGTCAGGGGTGATGTGGTTAGGAGCCTGTGCAATATGTGTGTGGATAGAACAGAAGGAGGCCTTCAGGGCAGAGGCTGGGCCATGCGATCATTTTCCCAGATGGCTTCTCTACAGAGTTCCTTAAAGCCGTCTTCTCCCTTTTTGAGACAGGAGCTTATGTATTCCAGGCTGGGCTTGAATCTGTTATGTGATAGTCAAAGCGGCCTTGAGGTCCTGATTTCTAGCCTCGGCCTATGGAGTGCTATGAGATTATGAGCATGCACCGAATGCTTGGCTTCTTTCAGAACGCAATGTTCATGTTCTCTTTATGTGCTTATGCTTTCCACGAGGAGGCAGGGCTGCAAGCAGTAAGCTCCTTACCTTTCCTAACTGGGTCTGGGATCATGCTTCATAAGGCATGCAGATACTGGCCCCTCTATCCCACAAGCCTAAACTACACCCTCCTAATTTAAGATCCCTCAATAGGCAGCTTTGTTAGAAATGAGTGACTTTAGAGGCCAGGGAACATGAACAACATCCTTCCCAGGACTCGTCAGGTATGGGCACCTGACCTGTCTGTGACTGCCAGCACGCACACCCACCCTCACACCTGCATTCATTCCCATCAGGGTTACCCTGAAAGGATGTTCATTCAACTGCTCTTGTGTGTAAGTCGAGTCTCCCAATGGCTCTCTATGCCTTGGAGTAAAATGCAGACCCCTGTGCTGGTCTTTAAGGATGTCTAGTCAGCTCCTGGATCACCTAGTCCTCTCCTTGCTGGGCAACCTATATGGCCCATCATGAAAAACTACTGTCTTTTTTTTTTTTTTTTTTTTTTTTACTAACTGTGGCTTAACAGCAGATGTCAGGGAAAGGCTCTCCGGCTTCCTCTACTTAACCTGCAGATACTCTTCGTAGGTCCTCCTTGCTGCTCAAAAGTACCTCATGTTTTTAAAGACAGTTCATCGGCTCATTCCCATTAGACTGTAGGATGACTCCCTAAGGGCAGGAACCGTGCCTGTGTAAGGGTTACTGGACTGCAAGCATGACATTTGGCACTTGGCACGTGATAGGGGTTCAGTTTGTTTTATTTTTTTAAATAATGTTTTGCTATCCAGCCTGGACTGGCCTGGAACAACTTGAAATTCTCTTGCATCTTGAGTGCTAGAATTGTAGGTGTATGTCACCACATCAGGTGCTCAGAGCAGTAAAAACACAGTAAATGGAGTTGGGTGATAGTTTCATGAGTGCCCTAGTGTGTTTTCTGTTGTGATAAAACACCGACCAACAACTTAGAGAAGAAAGGATTTGTTTGGCTTACAGGTTGCAGTCTACTTGAGGGTAGCCGAGGCAGGGACTCAGGCAGAGACCGTGGAGGAACACTGCTTACTGACTTGCCCCCTCTGGTTTGCCCCCCTCAGCCTGCTTTCTCATATAGCCCAGGCCCGCCTGCTCAGGAATGACACCTCCCACGGTGGGTGAGCCCTCCTATGTTAACTAAGGCAATCAGGACAGTTCTTCAAATGAGGCTCAGGTGACACTAATGTGTGGCAGGCTGACATTAAAACCAACCATCACAGTTAGTAAAATGCTCACTAACAGCTGTGAGGACCTGAGTTTGATCTAAGGTTCCCACATTAAGAGCCAAGTGTGGTATTGTGCACTTGTAATCCCAACACTGGTGAGCAGAGACACACAGGTCCTTGGAGCTCACTGGCCAGTCAGGCCTAATTGGTGAGCTCTAGTGCCAATGGCAGACCTTGTCAAAAATAAACAAGGTAGACAGACCTGGAGGAATGACATCAGAGGTTGACCTCTGGCCTTCACACATCCTCACACACGTGTTCATGCTAGTCTGTATATGAGCACACACACAAAAGTCATGGATCTTAAAAGTCGTATACACATTTAAAATCCATTCAGTTTGGCAACTTCGTTCTGCATCTACTTGAGGCCCAGGCCTGCTCCACCTCTGTGAGGCTTAGAGCTCTGCTGCTTAGCTTTGCTCTGACCCCACATTGTCTTCTCTTCCCAGAAGAGCCGGAGGATGTGAGTGAAGAGGCTCCCATGAGGGACCGCTCCCACATTGAGAAAACCCTGATGCTCAATGAGGACAAGCCTGCCGATGATTACTCAGGTAACGGGGAAGGGAGATGGGCTGGGACCCAGGGTGCCAAAGTGCTGTAGTTCTGAGGCCAGAGGGGACCCCAAAGAAGAGAACCCTGGAGGGAGGGATCTATATGAGATGACTCTGTGAACAAGGCCAGGGCTGAGGGAGGAAGAAGACTGTAACCGAGCAGGGAGCAGTATCGGAACAGAGGGTGAGTTCCAGAGCCATCACCTGTAGGGTGCACCCCAGCACCGCTCCCCCATCCTCAGGTAGGGAGAATGATAAGAACTCATCCTGTTTGCTTTGCTTTACAAAGCTCTTTCCTATCTCCTGCTTTATTTTGACCCTAGAGTGAACCAAGAGTTTCAATGGGGCTTGTTATCCTCTCTTAGCTGATTAGCTGGCTCGGATTAATACAGCAGTTCACTCCTGCACACAGCCAGAGAACAGCACTTCTAGCCTGATTCTTGCTCCCCACGTTGTCTTCTTGGGCTGCACACGCCCTGCAGCTCCCAGTTGCACCCTGGCTTTCTGCTTCCACAGAACACGGGACATGTCTGAACTCTCTCTCCCAGGAGCATTGTGCCATGGGCCTGCTGGGCACCTGGCCTCCTTACCCTCTAGACCTTGGCAGCACAGAGACAAAGACATGAAATTCTCATCTCCCAAGGAAAGAGCTTTTAGTCGGCTGAAGGTAGCCCAGTGTTTCTGGCTACACCATTGAGGGAGGAAGAGGGTATGAGGGTTTCAATTTAATTTTTCTTGAGACGTGTCTCATGTAGCTCAGGTTGGCCTCAAGCTCCCTATGTAGCAGAGAACAACCTTGAACTCCTAATCCTCCCACTTTCACCCCCTAGTGAACGTTATAGGTGTGAATCACCATGAAACCTGTTATTGTTGTGGTGCTAGGGATTGAACCCAGGGCTTTGTACTTCTGTATGCTAGATAGGTACTTAACCAACTGAGCCATATCCCTGCCCAATAATCAGTTGTTGTTGTTATTATTATTATTATTATTATTATTATTACTATTATTATTGAGACAGTGTCCCACTATGTAACCTGACTGGCCTGGAACTTGCTATGTAGACCAGGGTGCCCCTGGACACACAGAAATCCAGCCACTCTCTCTCTTGAATGTTAGGATTAAAAGTGTATGACACAGAACCTGGCCAAGAATTAGTTTTTTGTTTTTAAAATATCTCAGGAGGCTTTGCAGATCGGTAGGAAAAAGCTTTTGGATTAAGGGGTTTCTGAAGGATTTCAGCTCCTTCCCAGACAGTCATTTCACAGTGTTGGGCTGCCAATGGCTCTCCTCACCAGGGAGAGATGGGCTCTCTTGGGGTAGGAGGTTGCTGTGGAGTGAGGAGCAGCTTGGGGTTCGCCCTGCCTGATGCTTACTCCTTGCTCCCCTCCCCCTTGCCCCCCCCCCCCCAGCGGTGCTGCAGCGGCTTCGGAAGATCTATCATACATCCATCAAGCCCCTGGAACAGTCTTACAAGTACAATGAGCTTCGACAGCATGAGATCACAGGTACAGTACCAAGGCCCAGAACTGGGCTCTCACCTGTTACCCAGTCACACTGCTCTGATGCCCACATTGGCTCTAGCAGCTGAGGTTTCCTGAGGAGTGGAGGACAGGAGCTCAGGCCCTAGAAGTGGCCTTTCCTAGAAGAGTGAGTGCACAGTACTGTGAGAGTCTGACAGAGAGATTTCATTGCTGAGGACTTTGTCTCAGCAAGAGGTATTTTGATTTCCAGGGTAGTGGGGCCTGTGTGGTCCCTCCTGAGCTCAAGAGCCTCCAGGCCTCCTGTTCACATAGGCCTAGATTTCTCCCTGCCTCCTTGTTGTTCCTCCCAGAAGGCCTCCGGTGGGCCTCCATGATGATGATGATGATGATGATGATGATGATGATGATGATGATGATGACGACAATGGTGATGATATGATGGTTATTTTTGAGGCAAGGTCTCAACATGTAGGTCAGGCTGGCCTTGAACTTCTTGACCTTGAGAACCTATCTTAGCTTCCTGAGAGCTGGGTTTACACATACATGCTTCTACACACAGATAGGGTCTGGATGCTTTTAAACTGGGTTTTCAAAAGAATACAAGTAAGACATAATTGTTGCATGTGTATTCAAATAATGTAAAATAATGTAAATTGAAAAATAAAAGCCAGGCATGATGGCATATAACTACATCCTAGGTTTCGGGAGGCAGGAGAATTGTAACTCTGAGGACAGACAGGGCTACACAACCAGTTCTGGGCTACTATATGGCAAGACTCTGTCCCCAAAACACCACAGTACAGCACATACACTCAAATACATCCCCCCCCCACACACACACTCACAGTTTCTCTCTTGATCTCCAATCTATCTAATTCCACTCCCAGAGACACCCACTACCACAGTTTCTTGTTATGGTACTCGAAACCACAGGATGCAATAGGCTCTTCCAGACATTTCCTTTATTTCTCTGAGCATAGAAATGCCTTTTTTTACATGGGCTCATACTATGCCAGCTATGTATATACATGTGTGTATATACATATACATGTATGTGCGTGCATGCATGGCTCCCCCTTATTCTTTATTGAGAATGCTTGGCCCTGTCTTCTAAGAATACTCCAGGCTCTGTACAGCCAGTATTCAATTCCTGAGGGACAACAGGTGCTTTCCATTTCCTATTTTGAAAAAAAAAATGCAGATAGAGCTGGCTCAGTGGCTCATGCCTTTAATCCCAGCACTTTAATCCCAGGAGGCAGAGGCAGGTGGATCTTTGTGAGTTCAAGGCCAGCCTGGTCTACAGTTTGAGCTCCAGGACAGTCAGAGCTACACAAGAAACCCTGTCACACACACACACAAAAAAAAAAAAACAAAAAAAAAAAAACAAAAAACAAACAAAAAAAAAAAACGAAAAACAAACAGATGGGCTGGTGAGATGGCTCAGCAAGTAAAGGCTCTTGCCACCAAGCCTGATGGCCTGAGTACAGTTCCTGGACTCCACATGGCAGAAGGAGGGAATCAAGTTGTGTTCTAGCTTCTGTACACACACCAAGCTGTGTACACCCACACACATACAAACACATCACGTATGTACTTATGAAATACATGACACTATTTAATGCTCCATACCTGGACATGGTGGCTCTGCCTAAAGTCTCAGCACTTGGAAGGCTGAGGCAATAAGATCACTAACTGTTTAAAGCTACCCTGGGCTACAGAATGAATTTCAGGCCACCCTAGGCTTTAAGAGTGAACATTCCAAACGCTAGCATAATCACATGTTTTAAGGACGGGTACCCCAAACGCTAGCGTAATCACATGTTTTAAGGACAGGTACCTGCGGGACATGTTTTGTTTGCTTGCTTGTTTGTCTTGGAAATAGCACAGTAGAGGGGTCGACAAGATGGCCTAGTGGGTACAAGTGCCCCACAGTCTCAACAACTTAATTCAATCCCTGGCCCTATGTGGTTGGAGGAAAGAACCAACTCCCGTAACCTATCCTCGTGTACATCCAAATCTCACAAATGAATGTTTAAAAATTAATGCAGAGCAGTAGAATTAAGCATTTTGATCATTGTCGCAAAATTGCTTTGAAATACTCCAGTCTATACTCACAGGAATGGAACGTAGAGTCCTTGTTTCACCGCAGTTTGCCGTGTTTAAAAGTGTTACTCATTTTCCAGTGCTGGGGATTCAATCCCAGACTCCAGACATGCTAAGAAGGTGCCTTGTCACTGAGCTATATCCACAGCTACTCTTACTCCTGTTTTAAAGCTTTCATAATTGTTATTTTTTTTCCTTTTCAGTTCTGGGGATGGAACCCAGGGCCTTGAGCATCCTAGGCAAGTGCTCTACCACTGAGCTATAACCCTAGCCCTTGTTTTAATTGTGAGTGACATCACAAATTTCTCCCTGTGTTACTTGGCAATTTCCATATTATCTCAATGCCTATTGAGTAACTGTGGTACCTGAGAGCATATATAGCCCTACTCTGCAGGAAGGAACTGGATACCCAGGCAGTGCTGGTTGCCCTGGCTGCATAGCTGCTGTCAGGGTGGTGATTCTGTCTCTTTCCCCAGGGAATAAATACCCAGTTCTGTCAGTTCCTATACCGATCTTACAAGCACAAGAGCCATTTGTCCTCTTCTGCTTCTTGGAGGCTGTGTGGACCTGGTGTGAGGTTACAGAATCTCCCCAGGGCTGCCTGTGTTTTGTCCTCTGTATTCCCTTCTCTGACACCGAGTGTGGCATGCCCTTACCCGGGAAACTCCAGACTTAAAGCCTCAGTGGCCAAGAGGCTGCCAGCTGCCCCCATATTGGCTCTTTTCTGGCTTCCCTTTCTGGACTTGGCCTCTCTGTCCCAATGTCTTGCCAGCTTCCTGCATGACCCCTATCCCTCCAGCTTATTACTGGTCTTCCACATGTGCCCACAATGCCCCCTGCTGTGCAGAGTTGGAACAGCCACACCGCAGCCCTGTCTGTCTCAGAACTCGCATAAGCAGCGCTGGCTTTTTGCAACGGCATAACTCTCTTGAGCTACTTATCCATTCTGTCCCAAGGAGGGAAGGGGCCAGGCCATAGATATGTGCTCACCGTGTGAAGACATCATCTTCTAGGACTTTGCTTTACTCCAGAGAAAGAAAAGCCGGGTGCAAAAGGGGAGTCATTCCATACACTGGACAGAAAAGACAGGATGTGATATCGACAACACTGCTTATACACATTAAGGCAGCTGAAAAATGCCAGAAATCGGCACTGGTGTCCACTTTAGTGGCACACAGCTATAGTCCCAGCTACTCTGAAGGCTAAGGCAAGGAGAATCAACTTGATTCTTTTTTTTTTTTTTTAATTTTTTAAAATAATACACTTGATTATTGAGCCCAATACTTTGGGAACATTCCTGGGAAATATAACATAACCTTGTCCCAAAAGAGAAAAGATAGGAAAAAAAAATCCAGTACTAGTTACCTTCTACCGAGGGTCTTTTTGTACTTCAGACTTTTGAGTCAAGACATTATACAAAATCTTAAGAAATAAATGAAAAAGAAGGTTAAAAAGAAGGACTACATTTTTAGGCTCAGGAAGACAGTCTGGAGAACATAGGTGCTCAGTGGAACTAGTCCAGAAAAGAGCTGAGAGGACCAGAAAGCAACAAGAAGATAAATTGCATCTCTGTGGAAAGGCTCTCACCCTCTTCTTTGCCCATATTTGTTTTTATTTTATATATCTGAAGTCCCAGAGCTTGAACTCAAGGCCTCATACATATTGTGCAAACACTCTGCCACTAAGCACCCTTGTAAGCCCCCATCCCTCCTTTCGAAAACACTTCAGAATTCTGCTTTCCCCCAGCTGAGTAGCCTTGGGAGGACCTTGGCCTCAGGGCCCAAGAATCTAAGATTCCCAGTTTTCAGTGTTTGGTTTCAGACCCTGGAAGACTTAGGGACTTCGGAGCAGGGTATCTGAGACTATGCTGAGCTTGAAGTGAGTATTTGGGAGCCATAGTGAAGAGGAGAGGAACACTGCGGAGCCGGCATTCAGGCGGTTCACCACTCTACGCCTTCATGTGCGTTCTTCCCTTGTTATTGGTCCAGAGAACAACATTCAGTCTTTCTCAGCGTGGAGGCTCTGTCCTTTTTGTGAGCCATTCTCTAGATCAAGTGAGGAGACTATATCCAGTGTGAGTACCGAGCCTGACTGCATCACTCCACCCAGCTCCTCCTTCTGGAGCAGGCAGATCTCCGTGCCAAGCAAGAATCTGGAGAAGGTCAAAACAGTGACCTGGTATCATTTGAGTGACTATTGTTATGAAGAGAGAAAAATGCCACTGACCGCTGCAGTTTGGTCCACATGGAACCCCACAGCAGCTGGATGACAGTGGGGAATGCAGAGTGCTTTGGAGAACAGCGTGGCTCCTACAGTAAGAACTGACGTCATTTCACCTCTGTTCCTAATTCTTACTGTCTGCAGATGGGGAGATCACCTCCAAGCCAATGGTGCTGTTCCTGGGGCCGTGGAGTGTTGGCAAATCCACCATGATAAACTACCTCCTGGGGTTAGAGGATACTCGCTACCAGCTTTATACAGGTGATGGGGGGGGGGCTAAATTATGAAATCAGATGAAAAATTAAAGCACTTGTATGATTTTAATATATTAGTGAGAATAACATGCAAGAACCAGCAGCTCTACCACCTCCGTGGCAGCATTTTCCACAAAAGCCTCAAAGCAGAAACAACTCGAGTATCCACTGCTGGATGGAGGGATAAGGAAAATGGAAAGATAGCCTTAGAAAGAAACACGACAGGGCTGGGAGGACGTCTTAGTGAGAAAAGTGCTTGCCGTGCAAGCCTGCTGATTTGAAGTCAGACCCCAAGTACTCATATAAAGGCCAGACGAGGTAGCACACATGCCTCTGATTGCAGAACTTCTACAGGGAGATCGGAGAATCCCTGGAGGCTTAGCGCCAGCTAACTTGGCCTAGCAGTGTGCAAGAGTTACTCTGCATCAAATAAGGCAGAAGGTGATGAGACCCATGGCTGTCTGTCCGCTGACCTCCACGGCAGGAGCATGCAACACACACACACACACACACACACACGTGCACAGCTAGAAAGCAGTGGAACATGCATGCTGTCAGAGCACATCAGCTACATCCTTGCCACACGTGGACAAACCTTGAAAGCAATCTGCAGAGTAAAACATTCCGGGCACGAAAGAACAGATACTGTATGAGTCTACTCATGTGAGGTGCCACAGTGGGAGAAACTCAGAGGCAGGGAAAGAACAGAGGTCGCCGGGGAGGGGGCTGGGAAGTCACTGCTCGGTGGAAACAGTTTCAGGGTGGGAAGATGAGGAGGCTCTGGAAACGGAGAGCGAGGATAACTGGCTGCATGGGAATATAAATGTGTTTAGTGCTATTGAACAATGGGGTTGAAGGTAACATTTAAAATGCTAAATGTTATCTTCTGTGTATTTTGGCACAATTAAAAAATGAGGAGAAGGCAGGAGCCTAGCACACCTGTCTGTCCTTGTGGAAGCCCTTTCCAAGACTCCGTGCTTGTTCACAGCCTTCCAGTAGTCTGTTCCTCAGGGCTTGCTCTTTTTCACCTCTCCCCTACCCACACAGGTGCGGAACCTACCACCTCCGAGTTCACTGTCCTTATGCATGGGCCCAAACTGAAAACCATTGAGGGTATCGTCATGGCTGCTGACAGTGCCCGATCCTTCTCGCCCCTGGAAAAGTTTGGTCAGAATTTCCTGGAGAAGCTGATTGGCATCGAGGTTCCCCACAAACTTCTAGAAAGAGTCACTTTTGTGGATACACCAGGCATCATTGAGAACCGCAAGCAACAGGAAAGAGGTAACTTAGGGGGGTGGGGAGATTCTCACCTGCTCCGTAAGCACCTGTGTTAAAAACCCAGGCACGGTTGCCCCGTGCCCATAACTCCAGTGTTGTAGAGTGGGGATAGGTGAAGCCTTGGAGGTCTGTGGTCAAGCCAGCACAGCCAAAACGAGAGACCCTGTCTTTTCCCCCTGCTTGGTTTTTTGAGACAGGGTTTCTCTGTGTAGCTCTGGCCATCCTCTGTAGATCAGGCTGGCCTAGAACTCATAGAGGTCTGCCCGCCTTTGCCTTGTGCCTCCGGAGTGCTGGGATTAAAGGCGTGTGCCCTTGCTGCCTAGTGAGAGATTCTGTCTTAAAGAAATAAGGCAGAAAGCAATAAAGGAAGGCTCCTGCCATCCTCCTCTGGCCAATGTATGTACATTATGGACACACTCACCCTCACATGCACACAGTGCATACAACACACACACACACACACACACACACACACACACACACACACACACACAGTATTCATTTCTGAATAGCAAGAGCTCTGTTTTAGGTCACTGTGACCAACAGAGGGTGGTAGGCCAGCAGGGAAGAAAGGATGGTTCATGTTCAAGACCAAGAGATGCATTTTTTACTTCCATTCCTTCACATTGTTGCTGTGGTGACACTTGGGGTTTGGGGTGTCTTGCTCTCTGCCCCCTGAAGGGCTTACTGAGTTTGGAGATGGCCAGTATTTTCCTAGGAATATGGGTCTTCTCTACAATGTCAAAGAGATGTCCAAGCTGAGGACAAGTTGTCTTTGGGTGCCCAGTCTATCCTGAACATTGAAGGGCCTGGCCTAACGGGATCCTGGTGAATTACATTGCATTTTAATTCTGGCTAACCTGTGTCTTCGGCTTACTTTCCATTGAACACAGTCTACACCTCTTCTTATTGCCAATATCTGCTTTGTTGAGCATGCTTTAGTCTAAACCTTTATTAGGCTTCCTAGAACTCTGCTTGCCTTCAGATGGCAGGGGGTTACTATTCTGGGTCTGGTAAGTATGAGGCTATATCATAGAGCACTGAATACTGCCATGACACAGGGCTACCTGCATTGATGGGTCTTAAACAGGGCAGTCAGTAATATGTGGCCTAATGGCAACTCTCAGTTTATAGTTATGACTTGCATTTGAGTTATAACCAGACCCTGATTTATTAGCAATAATATAACTTATAGTTAATGATAACCTCATTATGTCCCTATTATGAATCAAATAACTTTATATATTATTGGATTGGTCATTATAAAAAAAAATCAGTGTTTTCAAAACTGTATTAGGGTTCTCTAGAGGAACAGAACTTATCTTATCTGTCTGTCTGTCTGTCTAACTAACTATCTATCTATATCTATCAAAAGTGGATTTGGTAGAGTGGATTACAGGCAATGGCTTCTACCAACAGAAAGTCCAAGAATCCAGTAGTTGTTTAGTTCGCAAGGCTGGATGACTCAGCTGGTCTTCATTATATGCTGGGATCCTGGAAAACAGCCTCTAGTGCCAGTGAAGGAATGGAACTGGTGGTGAGATGGAGGGCAAGCAGGCAAAGAGAGCAAGCTCCCTTCCTCCATGTTCTTTATACAGGCTGCCAGCTAGAGGCGTGGCCCAGGTTACAGGTGGTTCTTCCCACCCCAAATAAGTTAATTATCAAGTTCCTCACAGGAGAACCCAGATACCTGGGTTTCAGTTCCCTGTATAGTCAAGCTGGCAACCAAGAATAGCCACCACTGTGGTATTCCTCATCTTCTTGCTTTGTAAACAAAATCAAGGAAACAAGAAGTGAGAAGAATTAATATATAAGGATCACCTGTATAACTGAAGATTTAGCTGGGTGCTATATTGTTTTACAACACAGTAATCTCGCTCTTTCTCTCCCTCCCTCTCTCTCTTTCAACATTAGTTTTGTTTTTGAGACAGCTCTGGTTATTCTGGAAATTTCCATGATGGCTAGGCTGGCCTTGAACTCACAGAGATCCTCCAACCTCTACCTCCCGAGTGCAGGGATTATCCTGAGTGCTTTGACTAAAGTCATGCACTGCCAAACCCAGCCTAATATAGTAGTCTTTACATCAGCTTTGGTATTATTGTTCTTTTTGTAATTTTATAGTTGATGAGCAAGAATTTAAGAGCAGTTACCATCTGGCTGGCCCAGAGCAAAGCCCAAGTTGGGGCTCGCCAGGACTTCGACTTCGCCAGGTCTTAGCAGACACTCAACACTCAACCTGTATTTCTTTCCCTTTAACCACACATTCTCTCTCCTTCTGGTTTCCTAATAGCTTTCAACATCTTTGCCATTGACCTGGATCTCTTAGACATTTGGAAAATCATTTGCTTTTTTTTTTTTTTCCTTTAAAACTTTTATTATTTCTTAGCTGGACAGTGGTAGCACACACATTTAATCCCAGTGCTTGGGAGGCAGAGGCAGATAGATCACTGGGAGTCTGTGGTTTACAGAGCAAGTCTGGTCTACAGGCAGCCAGGGCTACACAGAGAAACCCTCTCACAAAACAAACTAAACTAAACTAAACTAAACTAAACTAAACTAAACTAAACTAAACTAAACTAAACTAAATTAATTATTATTTATGTGCATAGGTGTTTTGCCTGCATGTATATCTGAACCACAGGCATACCTGGTACCCACAGAGGCCAGAAGAGAGAGTTGGCTCCTCTGAGACTCAAGTTGTGAGCAGCATGTGGGTGCTGGGCACCAAGCCTGGGTACTTGGAAAGGGCAGCCAGATCTCTCTAGTCCCTCCCCCGCCCCCTTTTTGTTGCTGTTTTTTGTTTTTGAAGCATGTTTCATTATGTGGCTCAGCCTGGCCTTAAACTGAAGACCCTCCTGCTCTGCTTTCCTGAGCGCACAAGAGTGCGCTAACCCACTGCATAAGAAGCCCGTGTGTGCAGGGGCCAGGCGCCCCTGTAATCCCAGCGCTCAGGGAGGCAGAGGCAGGGAGATCGCCATGAGGGTGAGGCCAGCCTGGTCTGCACAGCAAGTCCAGAACAGCCAAGGCTACACAGAGAAACCCTGTCTTGAAAACCCCCTAAAACCTCCACTCTGGACAAAAACTCTTCGATAGAGATTTGGAAGGCACTGTACAGTAAAGCATGGGTCACTGCTCTTTTGTTTGTTTGTTTTTGTTTCTTTGTGTAGCCTTGGCTGTCCTGGACTTGCTTTGTAGACCACGCTGGCCTTGAACTCACAGGGATCCGTCTGCCTCTGCCTCCCAAGTGCTAAGATTACACATGTGTGCCCGGCCCAGATTATTCTTGATTCAAGGCTGACAAAGAGCAAGAGATAATGCTCACTGACCTTTAGGAAGCCAGGAAATTGCCAGTGCTACAAGTTGTCCAGCCCACACAATGGTTTGGTTCTGAAGGGAAGCGGAGGGCTTTGTGTGTGCCCTGCTCAGCCTGACCTCTCATTCTGTTTCCCCAAGGCTACCCCTTCAACGACGTGTGTCAGTGGTTCATCGACAGAGCTGACCTCATCTTTGTTGTCTTTGACCCCACCAAGCTGGACGTGGGTCTGGAGCTGGAGATGCTCTTCCGCCAACTAAAGGGCCGTGAATCCCAGATCAGGATCATTCTGAACAAGGCTGACAACCTGGCCACGCAAATGCTCATGCGGGTGTATGGTGCTCTCTTCTGGAGCCTGGCCCCTCTCATCAATGTCACGGAGCCTCCACGGGTTTACGTCAGCTCCTTCTGGCCACAGGACTATAAGCCTGACACCCACCGGGAGCTGTTCCTCAAAGAAGAGATCTCTCTCCTGGAAGACCTGAACCAGGTGATTGAGAACAGGCTAGAGAACAAGATCGCCTTTATTCGCCAGCATGCCATCCGAGTCCGCATTCACGCCCTTTTAGTTGACCGCTACCTGCAGACTTACAAGGACAAAATGACCTTCTTCAGTGATGGGGAACTAGTCTTTAAGGACATTGTGGAAGATCCTGATAAATTCTACATTTTCAAGACCATCCTGGCAAAGACCAACGTCAGCAAGTTTGACCTTCCCAACCGTGAGGCCTATAAGGACTTCTTTGGCATCAACCCCATTTCCAATTTCAAGCTTCTCTCTCAGCAGTGCTCTTACATGGGGGGTTGCTTCCTGGAGAAGATTGAACGGGCCATCACCCAGGAGCTCCCCAGCCTTCTGGGGAGCCTTGGGCTTGGGAAGAACCCCGGTGCTCCTGACTGTGACAAAACAGGCTGTGGCGAGACCCCAAAGAATCGCTACAAGAAGCACTAGTTTGTGCGTAGCCACCCTTGGGTCCCCATTGGTGAATAAGCTTGTGTCCTGTCTGAGAAGTCCTGGTTTGTTAACCTTTGAGCCATACTGGCGACAATCAGTCTGCATTGGAGATTTGGGAGTTCATTGAGGCTGGTGAATCAGGGAAGGCACAGGGTCTAGGGAGGAGAGTGGAAACTGTGAATTATAGTGTGCTTGTCTTATTGCTTCAGTTAGAGGGCCTGACACAGGCGAGTCAGGCTTCCCTTGCTTTTCCTGGGTCCTGTCTTGGAGGGACAGAGAGCAGCTAAATTCTAATGAACATTAAGATAATGAGGGTCAACTCCTGAGTAACAGAGGGTTCTCAGGTTTGTGCCCACTCCTTTTACACACATCTTCTGTTCGATCCCCATTCCTCCTTGGTTCCTTCCCAAGCTTAGGTTGATTTTCAGAAGTGGACAGTCTCTTGAGTCTGATCTGCATGAATTTAGAGCCCAACGCTGGAATCTTGTCCTTGTCTTCCCAAGGGATGGGGCATCCAGAACACTAAAACAAGAGTTTTCAGAATAGGGTGTTGATCTGCCATCCAAGTATCATTTCAAGATGTCCCTGTTGGAGAGCTCAGATACTTAGTTGTCCCTAAAAGGACAGTGAGTGGGTGATGTTCTCAAGTACTTTTCCTCCTCATGATTTACATGAAGGAACTGGAAGGGCCCAGGGGACTAACTGGTTTGCAGTGTGTCTTTGTCTGTTGCATGTCTTGAAAAACTCAGACCACAAAGATGTTGGCTTCCAGAGAGGACAATGGAGATCTTGTTCCTTGTCCTTGGAGGCTTCTCTGGACAGGCACTTCTACCAAGTTTCGGAGGGAAGCTGTTCTACAACTTCTTTGTGGGAGCACTTGACAGAGGACATGTTTCTTCTGGTTCTCAGAGCCATAGCTTCTCCTTTCCCTTCTTCTCCATTCCCTGATGCATCAATTCTTCCAACTGAGAGAAACTCCCTAGAATCAGAACCAGCACCAGCCCCTTGGCACTGGTGCTAGACAAGGCCTGAGGTTCAGGTTCAACCTGGACTTTTGCACATGCCCACTGAATGCAGTCAGGACAATCAGGACCTTTAGACACCAGTGAGTGTGCATGTGTGTGTCCATTGTACAAGAAAGACTAGGGGGATGATGGACCGGGGGGGCACAGAGAGAGGACTCCCGAGAGTCTTGCATGGCAGACATACACTGCCACCTTGGAGTGCATGGGAGCAAGAAGCCCTGGGAGGAAGAAGAGCTTTTGATGGAGCAGGCAAGGTGAAGTGCAGACAGCATTGGAGGCTTCCTCTGAGCCCAGCCTGCTGCTTTTTGGGGTGCAAGCTGTCTGGGGGGCCTTGGTTGTGATGCATGGGTTGGGATCCACCAGCACCAGGGAGTCATCTGGAATGGAAGGAAAGTGGGAAGGAAGGCTGAGCTGACGTTCTTTCTTCTGAGGATCAGGTAGGTAGAATAAGCATCCTGGTAATCAGTGGGGCTACACAGAAAACTTCAATTTAGGAGTTCATTTTCCCTGAACACTTAGCAGTCTGTCACCCACTGTAAGGGAGGCTGCTGCTTTGGCTCTACGCAGGGCCCAGGACCTCCCACAAGTCAAAAACTGCAGATCTGCCAGAAGAGGTTCCAAGAAGTGAGTTCCTCTCGGAAGGGTTATCCATGGAGGCTAAGGTAGAGGAGCTGCAATCTGCCTTGGGTTTTTTCTTCCCATTAAGTTATGCATCCAAACCCCAAACTCCTCTCATCTTCCATCACTTGTCCTCTGGAGACTGTCCCTCCCACCTTTCTCTTTCATGCTCCTTATGCCTGTGGGCCTTGTGTGGCAAATCCATTTTTTTTTTCAGTGCAGAACAGAGGGGTGGGAAAGCTGCACTGTATGGACACTGTCCTAGCTGTCGGTGCCTGCATGCTTGGAGGGAAGCCGGGAAACGGCCAATACGTTCTTACAGTATCTATTTGGAGGGAAGGCCACCCTGTCCATGCTATCTTCCTTCTGGAATTTTCTCTATCTCTTTTTTCTTTGTCTCCATTCAGTTCCTCTTCTCACCTTCCGATTCACTTTCCTTTCCTGCCCGCAGGCTGCTGATGGCTCAGTACAGGCTTTGGCACCTATTCTTAGCCCTGTTCTGCAGAGATGGAGTTTGAGCAGGATTCTGATTCTAGGAGGAGGGAGTTTCATCTCAGGAGAAACATGGGATACAGAGATTTCCTGAGTGGAATATCTGTGTCTGTGCCTGAACAGTGGCTGACCTTTCCAGTGTTCTTTCCATTCTGGTTTCATCAGGGAGAATGTCTCAATAAAGTTCCAATCTCTCTTCAACGCCTTGTCCTTGATTGTCTCCCATCAGGGGGATCTCGTAGTTTCCTTTTATCTAGTAGTGTATACTAATTTTCAAGTTTCTTGGGGACAGCTTTGAAATTTAGAAATATTTACCCCTGGTTTGAATTTTTTCTGGTGTTTCTTTTGGTAGCTTTTTCCAGCACCTAGCTTCCTGGCTGTGGAAGATAATTCAATTCCTCAGTTAGCAGTGAAGAAATAAGACCCACTGTTATATGATGGGAATCCCAAAGAACCTTTTTCTCTGTAGCACCTTAGTTCATTATTTTCAATATCCATGGAAGTATCCCTTTTGCATAGGGATCACTTGAAATTTCTATCCCCAGACCCTTCATAGAATCAGCTCAGATAGTGGTACGAATTGGCTTATGCCCTCTATTATACAACTACCTCATGGTCCCTGCGGCCATGATGGAGTAAAGTCTGTCAGAATGGTAAGCATGGCCACCTTCCTCTCGCTATCCTGGAGGGTGACCACCCCTCTACAGGTGTGGGCACATGTACCTTGAACATGTCCCAACTCCCTGGCTAGCACCCATCCCACCACATTTTGTCATTTCTGGTGTCCTGATCAGAGTAGGACTTCTTTAATTTGGAAGCTTTTTGCTCTGGGACCCTCCTAAGAAGTTTTCATACCCCAATTAAAGAGCTAGTTTGAAAGGGAAAGATGTGCATAGCACTCATTTTTAAAACTCTACTTTATTTGGGGTGTTTAGGTCTCAACCTCCTTTCAAACCTCCCAAGCCTAGGCAGAAGAGAGTAGGTTAGTGGGGAGAGAGGGCCCAGACCCCTTTATTTCTCCCAGTTGTTTAGTTGGGGTCAAGGGGCTCTTTCAGGGCTATGCTTGTCTCTATCAACAACAAATGCAGCCAGTAGCATCCTCAGCCGCTGTACCCTGACGTGTTTCTCTTCATCTGTCTGCTCCAAACTACCATGCCGTCTCTCCAAACTGCTACACGCCACACACCAACACCGAGTGCCACCATCAACACCACACACGACACCCTCTCTTTCCCGGCTCTCATATTTATGCTCTCGGAGGCCTAGACCATGCCCCTTTCCATGCTGCACGTGGAAGGCCATTACCAGCCGGCCTAGACAGGTAACAGGTGTGGACAAACTATAGCCCAAGTAAAACCCCACACATGGATTAAAACAAAAACATATTTACATAATATAACTGAGTTCACAAAGAAACCAAAACATCCATTACAGATGTGGGCCCCGGGGAAGAGGTAGAAGGCTGGAAAGAACCCAAAAGGAGGACCAGAGCCTACAAAACTAAGCCACACTCATACGGTTATGCCAGGACAGGTGCCCGTCAATGGCTGAAGCCAATATTCCTGGGTTCTCTGGCTTGCCAGGGGCTGATCCTAGGGCTGGACAGGTGGACCGTGTTCTCCCATGCTCACCATATCTAGATCTGTCTTTGAACAACTGAACAACCAGATCCACTCCCTTACTGCAGCCCGAGCAACCCGGCCTGCTCACCCGCTGCAGCCTGGCCTCTCTCTTGCCTAGGCCAGAAATACAGAGCTTTGTCCTGGAAGAGGTAAGGCAAGCAGGAAGGTCTTTTTCAGGTAATACAAGTTCTTTCTCAAATTTGTTCTGTTCCACAGCTCAGGGTTGCCATTATGGGAATTGAGAAAGAAACAGAAAGTGGAGAAGGCAGAACCAAAGGTCATTATCAACATGGTCAGGAAATGTAAGGTATGGGGATGGAAAGAATATTTGCAAGAACGTATGGACATGTCATCTAATGTGGTTATCCATATAAGGGACATGGACAAACATTCAAGTGAAGAGTGAGGGAATGGAGAAGGAGGTGGAGATGTGTGCTTTTGGCTTTTGTGGCCAAAAGATGCTTAGGTATCTAGTACAGTGTCAGATACACAGTGACCCTTGACATGTTTGCTACTGGAAGGAATACATAGATGCTGGAGGAGAAGGTGACGTGTGTGTGTGTGTGTGTGTGTGTGTGTGTGTGTGTGTGTGTATACAAATCTGAATGGCCCACCCAGGATGGAGACCCAGGATTCAAGGTAGAACATCCTGTCAGCTCCTACTTTGCAGGTTTCTTAGTCTTAGAAACCAAACAAGTACTGTCGATATTTAATGCCAGTTCCCCTTCAGTGACATGAAGCTCGGACTTTTCCTAATACAAAGAAGTTGTTCTCTAGGAGAAAGGAGGAAGCAACAGAAGAAATAAATGACCAGAGGCCTAAAACTATAGGCAGGGAAGGTGTGCTCAGCAGGCTGTGTATACCTCTTGCCTAAACTCTCAAGCATGAAAAGGGTTCTCCCCACACCTGCTTGCACTGTGGGGTCTGCCTGCCTGGAATGTATATGGGATGGAAATTGCCGACTGACCATTAAGAAAAAGAGTGTTTCTAGATTATTTCCTTTGCGCCAGGAACTGGGCTTCAGCCCTGTAAGTAGAACCACACCTACGCCTAACAATCTGTGTCCGGTGCTACACCGAGGCTTTCTGAGCATTGCCTGGTTTAATCCTCACAACACTGCAGGGAGGTGGCTGGCTGGCAGAGTTCTTGGATAAACTCCTGCTTGGAGTTTATCCTGGTTTGCTACAAGGAGCCTTGGGCAAATGACCAAACTGTGTTTCTGTGTCCTTACTCATGAAATGGAGACACCAAGAGCTCCTCCCTAACAGGGTTGTGGCGGGGAAGTGAATGGCCCTGTACATGAAATAGGATACA